GAAAAGTTGCGTTCTGAGAAATCTGAGTTCATGAAACGTACTTTGGAATCTCAAAGGAATCTCTTCACGAGAATGTTTGCTGAAAATGAATCTGTCATTCGTACAAGTTACAAAATAGTGCATAAGATGTCAGAGCGAGGAAAACCGTTTACTGAAGGCAACTTCATCAAAGAGTGTATGATGGAAGCAGCAAATGACTTGTGTTCTGAGAAAGCCGATTTGTTTGGAAGTATCAGCCTTTCAGCAAGTTCAGTTGTGCGGAGAACAGAAGAACTTTGAGAGAACATGGTGTTACAGATACGCGAGAAAGCTAGGAACTTCTTGTGCTATTATCTGGTATTCAAACAGTTGGTATTCAAGTAATTTATAATATAAATGGCGTTTCGATCACAGCTATTATGTCATGTGCCAGACATCCTAATAAACCCTGGCACTGAACGTAATAGATACAGTGTGGATTGATGTATGATACTACTTCTTTTTCTTCGTTGTTGTTTTTTTTTGTGTGTAAACACGCAATGGAACATGTACCGCAGGTTTATCTTGCATTATCAATACTTTGGTAACAATTAAAATGTTATATCATGACAATGTGAATATAAATTATATTTTGTTTTCATATTCAATGCTAATTCTGGAGGGGTAAGATATGAAAGAAATTTCTTTCATTAAAGAAACCCTTCCACAGATAACAATCAATAAAAACCACATTGTTGTTACTTGTTGTGCTATGAAGGTTTTAATTGGTTAATTACAAATCTACATAATGAGCTATCTACGCCGTGACCACCTCGAGTATCTAACTCTAATTTTTAACGTTGTAAGTCCTCAAGCTTACCGATACATCATTCACAAAATTCAAATTATCTCTTTTAAAAAAATAAATTTGCTCTAATATACCTTTACGTGAAGTGTATTAACAGACATAAAATGTAAAACACAAACAGTGCAAATCAACACTCTTCTAACAGAGCGCAGACTTGTCTTGTGGTAGAGCTCTGAATTTTGGAATTGTCAAGCCGGGTTCGAATCCGTGCAATACTGCAAATAGTGACAGTCAATTTCTTAGCGTGAAAGGTTGGTGTTAAGTGTGCTGCTAACTGACTGTCCCCTGTCTTTCTGGTTATTCATGAATAATTTGAAATAGCATCAAATTACCGGTTCTAAGTTAAAAAGCTTTTGGGAAAAGTGATAATGGTACAATTGTTGTCAAAATTTTCTAGTATAAAATATCTATTTTAAAACATATCTAGACTTATAATCATATATAATATTGATTAAAGATTTTCTATGCAATGGAATATGTCAGGCCTTTTCGTTTATTTATCATTTCCTTTCAAAAGTATTTCACCTTTTATGACTAACTATGGTTGACGTAGAAAAATTATGATGACGAAATATGCACGTGAAGGTGAACATGTCGGTAATGGCTTCGTCAAGTTTGTTTATGTGAAATAGAGTAGTATTATATTGTTGTTCCTAACGGTTATTGGCAATTATGAATGAAAAAAGTGTTATACTGTCAGGTAATACTGATAACAGTACTGTAAGTGGAGCTATGATTATTTCAGCTAAACAAAACAGAAAGGTTTTTGGAGTCAAACCAACTCCGCGGAAAATCGGAAATCAAATTCCTGCTGAAATACTGGAAAACCAAGAATTAAAATCAGCCAAAAAACTTTTACCAGACAATTATAATTTTGAAATTGAAAAGACAATTTGGAGAATTAAACAAGCAGGTGCCAAGTTAGTGGCATTGCAATTTCCCGAAGGACTTCTAATGTTTTCACTAGCAATTTCAGATATTATTGAAAAATTTACCGCAGCAGAAACTATAATTATAGGTGATGTCACATATGGTGCTTGTTGTGTGGATGATTTTTCGGCCAGAGCATTGGGAGCAGACTTTATGGTGCACTATGGACATAGTTGTTTAATACCAGTTGATGTAACAAAAGGAATCAAGATGCTCTATGTTTTTGTTGACATTAGAATAGATACGGTACATTGCATTAATACGATACAACATAATTTGAGCGCACAAACTTCTATTGCATTAATTAGTACAATTCAGTTTGTTTCAACACTTCATGCTGTAGCAGCAGATTTGAGAAGTAAGGGGTATAGTATTAAAATACCACAGAGCAAGCCTTTGTCTCCAGGCGAGATATTAGGATGCACTGCACCTATTGCTAAAGATGTTGATGTGTTGATCTATCTTGGTGATGGAAGGTTCCACTTAGAGGCTGCCATGATTGCAAATCCGTCATTGCAAGCATATAGGTACATAAGTTTAAAAATAAAAGACTGACTTTGTTATTTACTTTAACTGTGATTTATGGTTTATTTATGATATTAGGTATTTAATTTGGAGATTTTATGTAGAATTCGAATCTTAGTAATCGGGTAGCATTATCTAAGGCAAGGGACAATATATTTATATTTAAAAATAATAATTTTCAAACCTAAGAAGCTCTTGTCAAGCCAGTCTGACTTAGAATTATATTTTAATGAGAATTGTATTAGCCAAACAATGCATTTTAATGTAATCCATCTAGAAAATTTACTTATTGTAAGGTTTGAAGATTATCCCTTTAAACTAATACTAGTAATAGGCTTGTATTTACCTCTACTTTAGAGACTTGGAAAAATTTAAATAAATCGGTTATTACTTGTAGTATTACTAATAATGAGGCCTAACCTATTTCAGTAACTACCACATCTAGAGCCTTTTCTTGGTGATTTATTTAGTGTCAGTATATCAGAAATCAAAAGTAACTGGCATTAATACTGTTGGAGAGATGTATTAGTTTATTTAATTTCATATTTTGATCTTTAGCACTTGTTTCACAGTGTAGACAGAAATGATGGTTTTAGATGTGTAGCATGTTCAGGAAAATATGTTTTTAATGAACCATTTAAGAATTTCACAAATCCCAGTGCATTATTCAGATTCTATTACTGGTTGCAAACAGTCATGTGTGTAACTAAATTAGATGGCCCTTGTGCACAGTTAAAAGATTTCAAAAGCACATGCAGTGTTGACTTATTGTACAATAAAAATTAATGCATGTTTTGATGATGTTTTTAATAAATCAAGTGTGCAGTATATCAGTGTTGTATGTGCATTTTTATTCATGTTTATGATGAATTACACAAAATTAACTCTGGTTGCTTTATTAGTATTCTATTTTGTAAAGTTAATAAATTTTCAACATTGTAATTTGCAAGAAGCTAATGAATTTATTTTATAGTAAAACTTCTCTTTTAAAGTTTTGGAGAAGTGCTTAATTGTTTTATTAAGGACTATTTATTGTTTAAGTGTAGACAGAGTTGAGAAGAACTTAACTTGATGGATCGTATTATGGATTTTGAGAAAACATGAGGTATTAGTTAATTATACCAGTATGGCTGTTTGAGATAAGCTTAGTTTCTTTTTATGTTTATAAAAAACTCTGCATTAAGCTGCTAGAATTAGAGGTTTTAGTTGGAAAAGAGACCTGGTTAGTTAAGGATTATGAAAATGATTTTTGAGAAACATTTAAGGTATGGGTCTGTTCAAATAAAAGGAGCAAAAGCAGTTTCATTTGTGAGAAATTGGCTGAAAGCTTGTTAAAGTAAAAATATTACTGAAGTTAACAAAGATACAGAGAGTGTTTGAGTTGATCATTCTAGAAAAAACATGGTGAAAGATGTCGAAATGAATGGGTATTAGTGATCATAATGTCATTAGTTTTATTGTTTTTATTAAAATCACTTGTAACATTAATAATATCTTGATTCCAAAGCTTAAGAAAGCCAACTTTAAGAAATAAAAAGATATTTTGAGAGAGGAGGATTGGTTGGCTAATTAAAATGGAAATATTTAAATGAAGCCTGGGATAATTTTCTTAGTTTGGTCAGGCTAGTAGAAAATAATTGAATTCCAACCAAAAGATCATTCCTGAGCAAATGACTAAGGAACTTAAATTATTAATAATTTGAAGAAGGCCAATTCTGAAGAAAAGTGTTTGATTCCAAACGATGATAACAAGGTTTGAGTAATTAAGTTGGGGGAAGATATGTGTTTCAATACCGAGATATATAAATACATGTCTTTAGTATGCAGAACCTAGAGGGGTTACCTGTTATATGTAAAGAGTGTTGGTATTTGAAGAAGAAAAGGACCCAAGTGGAAAAACTTAAGAATAGGCTATGTTGATCGGAGCGAACTGAGTCATGGATTTTTTCTAGATAAGATTTCAGTTAAAAAGTACAAGGCTATTGTTTTAGAAAGCTATCTTGATCCCATTTGGAGTACGTGTTCACGTTTAGACACCTCATTAAAAGGGAAAATATTGAACTGCTGGAAAGAGTGCAGTGAAGATCTACTATGCTCGGTAAAAGTTGTATAAGAGCTTTAGACTTTTTTGTGCATTTTTGTCTGTGATATTTGATGTAATACCTATTAGAAACCTCTGGTTTCTAGAACGTTAAGGTTGGTAATTACATCTTGAATTGTAGAAATATAAAAATAGGAGGAGTGGAAGCCTAATCCAAGACTTGGTCATATATAGCATTATTTCTCAAAATTTCTAACACTTGGAATATTTTACTTATAGATGTGTATACTGATAGTTTGTATTCTTTACAGCTTTATTGATTAGATATATGGACGTGAACAGTTACTTGTTAGGATATCCCCTAATATATTATTAACAGCCTACTAAGACAATACTGTAATATTAACTGAGCCCTTAAAATTTAAATATTCGTGACTTAACCAGCTGTAAACACAACATACAGAAATGGGCAAAAACAAGTTGAATGAATTGTTGAAGTGGAATTTAGAAATCTATAAGATTGTGTTAGAGGGCTCTGATTTTCTTTCTTTTTTTTTCGAGGTGCTGTATTTTCAGCAGAGTGGAGATCTGAATAATAGGTTCATTCTTAAAATTGGTTTGAACACCTGGTACATGCATATAAAAACTAAAAGATTACAAAGACATAAATTTGTAAAGATTATAAATAACTCATTTGTCTACAAGTAAAGACATGCTATATGTCGTTTGTAAGAATATTTAAGATAAATATATTATGTAACCGTATCTGATCATATTTAAACACGATACCTCACTGATTCATTCTGCACAAGTTTAGTTTGTAGTATGTACTGTTTGTTATCTACATAATCTAACTAATGATAATAGTGTTATAATAGGTACTTCTACCCTATTATCCAAACATTTTAACAAAGTATATAGATATTAGTGTTTTAGATACCAATTTGTATTTACAACAATGCTAGTATTTGAAATTTCCAATACTGTACTAAGTAACATTGTATTGGAAGTGGTTATTTTGTGTAGTTTACGTGGAACTTTTTTGTATATGTACCCAATCTGTTTATATATATATATATATATATATATGTGTAACTTTGCTATTTTCACAATATTTGTTGGGTATAATTATATTATTTCATTTTGATGTATAGCAGATTTCCTGGAAACGAAATACAAATGTTTGCTTATTGTTTGAAAATCTAAAGGTATTTTTGTTTTTACAGATACAATCCTTATGACAAAACATTCACCCGAGAGCTGTATGACTTTGACTCAATGAAGAAAATTAGAAAGGATGCCATACAAATGGCAAGTGGAGCTGGAACCTTTGGTCTCATTCTTGGCACATTAGGTCGGCAAGGGAGTCCCAAGGTACTCCAAAATCTACAAGAAAAACTGAAACAAAGTACCAAAGAAAGTGTGATCATTCTGTTATCTGAAATATTTCCTGACAAGTTAAAATTATTTGAAGGAATCGAAGCCTGGGTCCAGGTTGCGTGTCCAAGATTGTCTATTGATTGGGGGTCAGCATTTAATAGACCTTTGTTGACTCCCTACGAAGCAAATGTTGCAATGAATAATGTTGAATGGAAGGACAATTATCCCATGGATTTCTATGCAACGGGGAGCTTGGGGCCATGGACGCCGAATCACAAACTGTCAGCAAGTACAAAAAACGAAAGCTGTGGCAAATGTGCTAGTTGCGAATGTAAAGAGAAAAAAAAGGAATAAAATTACCATTACCTTTACGAATTAAAACCTTAATTTAATTCTACTAAAGTATTTAATCTTAAAAAAACGTTTTTGTTCGGTTCCGGATTCACAAACAATGATACATATTAATTAGTTTTTCACTGTGTAATATAAGAGAAACATCCTGACCATCAAAACTACAGAAATAATTTAAGACTGTTAATATTGCTGCGTAAAAAGCAGTACTGTTTTTCCTAGAAATTAAGCACTGTGTCTGGCTATACTTGAAAAATAACTTGTAGTGCTTTTAAACTTGTTGGTATATTTCAAAAAATGACAACTGAGACAAGATTGTGTGGCATTAATAAATAAAGAATAACCTGAGTGAGCAGTTATTTGAATATCAGATCACATAACTCATCCTCAGAATTCTAATTTGAAAAAAGGAGGAGGGTTAATTGACATGATTTTTGAACTAAATCTTTACAATTGTCCTAACGATAACTAGAAATCCTTCATATAATTAAAATTATTGCAATGAAAGATGTTCTGTAAATATCTCTATCAAAATATTAGTACAAGATTCCTCGGGACCATTCTTGGTGCACAGATTTTTTAACATACAACGTAAATTTCAGAATGCTCTTGTTGTTTGTAATGACCATACTTTTTATTGAAATAAAACTATACAAATTTTAAAGTCGTAACAAATCTTCGAAATAACAAATCCTTGCATATAACTGATTTTGCCTTGTCATAACTAGAGTATTTTAGACACACAAAGACCAAGTTGATGTACTTCTTTTTCTTTCTTTTTTTTTAATAACTGCATTTATATTTAATTCTTTCAACTCTTAATCTGCGTAGGTTGTGAAGATTGATCTGTTTACAAGTTGTAACTGTTACTGCTACCAAGAATTTATACAACTTCATTATTGTACTTGGATTTAATGTGAATGCAACATACAAAATTTCAGAGTCAAAATAAATCTGTGAAAATATTTCATATGTTTACTAGTTTCAGACATCCAATGTGACTATCGTGGTAATTTTAATACTTTTTGTAGTGTAATTGTTCATATATTAGTAAGATATGTACTAACCAAAGAATGGACACTTGTTTGTAAATATCCCTGTGTACAAAAATTCTTGATCAATTTTAAGTCATTTTTTTTTAAACATTTTAATGGTTATATAGAAGTTGCATATATTTACTGTAAATGGTAATTTACAATTACCAAACAAAATCATTTAAAAAAATGTATGTAGTAGTCACTTCTCAAGGATGCAGTTTGGTTAAGTAATGTAAACAAATTCTTTTGGGATGTATGATCTATGGTATATACTTTTTCCCTTATATCTGCACAGATAGTTGCATTGTATACACACATAATGCATCTTGGGAATCTAAAAGAGTTACATGTTGTATAGATCACATGATGACCTCCCACATCTCACTATCAGCTTTCATAGAAAGTTTGGAATAAATCCTTGTCCTTCTGCAATGTTTGGTACTTTATTTCTGCATCTTTTTGCATCACTGTTTAGTCAAAATGAGCTTGAGAGAGAAAAAAAGAAGAATCATAATAGAAAAACAAAAACAGGCTTAACTATCCTTTTACTTGTACAAGAAGCTTCTCTCCTAATTATCCCCAGGATTTATCCCAAACAAGTTTTGAATATGGATACCAGTAAAGTATGTATACCACAACAAATAAATTACATAACTGGGAGCAGTAGGCCAAAAAATATTGTGCATGTCATCTTTGATTGCCAACAAAAGATGAATAAACATGGCCTCACAAAATAAACTAAGAAACAAATAAAAAAAACCTAGTTAAGTGCATTAGAAACTGTGTAGCAAAACTGAAACTTTTAAACAAGTTACTTTTGCACAAGCTAAGATGAAGGGGTTAATTAATAGTACGTCCGTGAATGTGTATTAATATCATGTTCTAATCAACAGGAGCAGCAACAAACAAAGAACAGATCAGGTGTTAATAATGATTATATGGCAGCCCCCTATACAACATACTGAACAGTGCCAGTCCACATCTTAAAACTATCAGGTTAAACAGCACGGTCAATGTGGATGTAATAGTATGGAGGGGAGGACAATGCTACTTTAAATTACTTCTAATAATGTTATTTAAATAAATTTACACTGTTTGTGTTCTGTTTTTGATAGGATTAGACAAGGTGCAACATTTACTTACACTTGTGTTTGAATACTGAACTGAACATATAAAGAGGCATGTTAATGTAACTAAGCTGATCTCTTATAATGAGTAAAACTTGCAACTTGGAAGACCTGGTTTATCATATTAGCATTCTTCTTAAGTTTGCAGTTAGTAAGTCCTTTAAATTTTACTTTATAATTAGTTATTACAGGATAAACCTGTCAACTTAATTTTAGCTCTGCTTGGAGAATGTGATAATAGAAAGCCATTTGATTTAAAACTCACACACACACATGCCAATAGATTGTAACAAAATAAACTGAAGCAATTTCCAATTAATAGTTTTATTCATTCAACATTATTATAAAAAACATAAACCTGAAATACTAAGGAATTTAAACCTTTCAAAATATTTATTATAATTCTTGAATTTATAATAATAATAAAAAAAAAAACTGTAGTTTTATCACGCCAAAAGGTTAACTGAAAAAATAAGGTAGTGATGCGGATGACAGATAAAACGGGACCAAAGTTTTTTTTCTACAAATCTATCTTTCTTAATATTTGAGTCTTATTATTGAGCAAAACAGCATAATGAAAAGGATTCTTCTCAAAGTTCAGCGTTTGCCATTATACACTATAATCAAATATTAACAGGAGGAAATATCCAAATAGTAGAATAAATGTAATCACCATTACTTACAACTATGTACATGCGACTTTCTTTCAAAAAACAAATTATTAAAACCACCAAGAGATTTTTGGTGTTTCACCACATAACTTTTTGTACTAGTACAGTGTATAAAAATAAGTCATGTCATCTGTAACACATCTCGTCTTCCTCACTCTAATAAAGCTCATGTCATTTTGCACAAAACTGTGAAAGTGAACATACCAGATGTTTTTCAAGTCACTTCTGATGTTTTGTCAATGGCATTCAGGAAAACAGTGAACACAATATTGTAAAACTGTTTTTAGATCAATTTGATCATGCAGTATACAGTCTCTGGAGTTTAAAACCATCACCAATAAATAATATTTAACACCTATTACAAAAATACCCTATTTATGAACAGTCGGATCTATGTATTTTGACCACGATGTCATCAAAACACACCACAAGACTGTATGTTTTGTCTACTGCACATTCAAACTGGTCTACTCGTTGAGTTTTACAACATTGTACCTATCTGTTTCTCAAACACAGTCATCCAATTAGTGGAAGCGACTTTTTGAAACTCCCAGAATACTAAGTAATCTAGTTTAGTTTTATTTGTTAAAAAAACCCTTTTAGATAGAATAACTAATAAAACATTTTTACTCTAGGACCGTCAAATGATAACGCACATAAAAACTTACTAGTTATGGCTATCGGTGTAAAACTTGAGTTCCAAGTAAAATTATGTACTAAAGAAACTTCAACACCTCTACTGGAATAAGAGCAAGTACAAACATTTCCTTTAGGGTTGAAACTTCAACACCTCTACTGGAATAAGAGCAAGTACAAACATTTCCTTCAAGGTTGAAACTTAATTAAATTTCAGACTAACTTTTCTTGTAATGTTCAGATTTTTCAAAATCATAAAAATAACTAAAAATGTCATGGTTTTGTAAACAACCAAACCATATACAATTAGCTAGCTATCAAAAATAAATAAAACAGTGCAATTAAGCAGGAGCTTTTTTTAATCGTTTTCCTGAAGCCTAAAATTGGTCAGCTTAAATACATAAAAGTCAAGGTAAAATAGCAAAATTAGAGAATTAGTCACGTACGTTTTTTGTCTACATTCATACATTTTTCTGCCATTTTAATTATGTAGGAATTTAAAAATAATGAAATATGTGCAATAAATTCTTTAGAGCGAAATTTAGGTTTCAACTCAATTTCAATGCCCAACATTTCATTCTCAATTTTCTCTCTTGTGCGACAAACAAAATCAATTATTGGTTTACTTGGTTTTGAAGTAGACTTGCTAATTATCTGTTGCGATATATAATGTTCTAATTCCAAAGGATCATTAATATCAGTAGGGACAAATTCAGCTTTATGTTTCTTTCTAGCATCCCACGTACGATAAAATACTTTACAGAATATTTTTAGAAGTGTTTTTCTGGAATCTGTAGGGATATTCTCCCTTGAGGTCGATGCCAGGGGCTCCTTGTCAGTCTGTTCTTTAGACACTGAGCTCTCAGAAGTAATTGCAGGTCCTGAAGTTATTTTATTACTTGTTTCTTGAGTCTCTTCATTACTTTGTTCACTATCTCCTTCAACCCAATCTTCATCTACTTGCATGTCAGATGAACCAAAAATCAACTCCTCAAATTGATCCCACTCTGTGGTTTCAGCAGTGCTATCACTTGCATTGCGTTGTTCAAAATGTTCGTCTGATTCTTTGAGACGGCAACGTTCCAGTTCTTTTTTTGGTTCAACATCGTGCGTCACACACAGGCGTTTAGATGAATGCTCATCTGATTCCGTGTTCACCTGGTGTCTTTTATCACGAGACTCGTGTTTTTCAGAAGACTGCTTAGTTTTCTTTTTCAGCCAACGTGTCCTCATGTAGTCACGAACCTTACATTCAAACATTAATCCTTTCTGTAAGATATCCAAGATAATGTACGATGTCTTGTACATCCACAACCTCCTTAAGTTCCAGTCCGAAAGATTTCCTGGGGGTAGGCTGTTAAAACAAAAGTTCGTTTTGTGTGGTTGGAACTGAATTCTAAATATTATTGTACCTAAAGTATCTTCAATATTGAACTGAGGGACTGGCTCCAGTGATTTTGTTTTGTACGTGTACTTCTCTGGATCAAAAAGTATTGGAATCCCCCATAGCTTGGAAGCACCATTGCAGTTGCTAGTAAAACATTGGGAGTCACAGAAAGTTTGTGCTTGCTTCATTTTATGTACAAGTTTATTTAACGAATCTTCAATAACTGTTGCTGCAATATTGTCGTTCAAGTCAAATGGGTCTTGAATAGATATTGGTGCTACCTATTAAGATAAAATACTAATTTATTTTTAAAATACTCTTTATGTCCTTTTCATTACAAACAAACAATTACTGAATAGGTGTACAGTACTAAGTGATAAGTGCTTTAACAAAATTATCATCCATTTATTTTAAAATATTCCACTAACATTCAAGAAAAAAAAAATTTCAAGTGTGTGTAGTTTTCGTAAAACAAGGATATACAACCAAAAGATGACATACACATATACTACTACTAGGCCTGCAGGAAAGAATGAGAAGAACAGTGAGAGACATCTTTAAATATGGTTTCTCTCAGGCTTCCAAAAAGCTCCAGCAAATAAAAAATGTATTCTTAAATGTTCATGTGTTTTTAATTCTGTGTGGATACAACAGACTTGCAGACTAACCCAAACTTCTCATACTCTCTGGAAAACACTACTCCATCCAGAAAATTTAAAGTGCTTTTCATTAATTTTTCCTAAGCATTTATGAAACATTAAATCACTTTAGAAGGAAACATGCAATCAAATAATCTATGTTGAGGTTTAATACAGGTGCATGAATGATACTGTTTGTTTCATTGCATTGTAACCAATCTAGACTTTACAATTTTTTGTACATACAGCTTGAAAATACAAGGAATTTTACAGTAAAATACTTCTTTTTTGGTTTTAAAGCTGGTCAAATGAAGCTGTGGCCTCAAACTATTAATCAGTATTGATCATATTTGAGATTTTACCATAACAAGTTCAAATAAATCAACTAAAACCAGTAATTGTTATTTCAAAAATGTGAAATTAATGTACACTCTACAAAACTGATATTTCTACCTTGGCAATTATTAACAAAAAGTCCGAAAGATAGTAAAAAGTATAATAATACATCAACAACGATATATGTATTATAACCAGTGTAAAAAGAGACCTTTTGCCCAACACCAGGGCTTTTCAGGCCAGCTAGGATACCACCAACATGACTAAATCATTTATTTATCGTGAATCTTTATCTAGGAAATCAATAGGGATGGTAGCAACAAAATGTCTTCAATACTGGTAAAAGTGTATCACACACAATCTTGAAACAGTTGACTTAACTAACAATAAATTAACAGTCAGTTGATGACACAGTAGCACTTTTCTTATCACCAAGAACAACAGTCAGTATGTTCTCATTGCTCTAACAGATAAAAAGAAAACTGACAAATAATTATAAGAAAGGCCTTATGACACAGAACAATATAATTATAGTTATTAGCTTTGAAGTTGTAAATGTAAAACCTTACAATAAGAAGAATTCAACATTGTCTAATACAATTCAGATGACAAAAAAAAAAAAAGGTTAAAAGAATATTTATTACTTACCACGAAATGAACCAAGTTTGGAAAGATCATGGAAAACTTTTGTTTATCAAATACTTGGCCAAACCTAGGAGATATCACCCATTTTTTGAAGTCAAAGGTGCTATAAAAGTCAAAAAAACTCTTCAGCAAGTCCTCTGGAGAAAAAAAAAAGAGAGAAAATTACCAGATCTTCGAATAAAATCTTTACAAAACAAGAAGGACAGTTTCTCAATCAGCATTCCCTAGCTTATAGAAGTAAGCTCTTCTTAAAGCTTTGTACATTCTACACTAAAATAATAATAAAAAAAAAATTATTCAGTTTCCCAAATACTAAAAAATAAACCTTATCTTATAGTAAGTGAGTTCAAAGTTTTCAACTTTCAGTCAGCTAGTAAATATCAGATACATTTCATATACAGTGCTGATAGCATAGATACCAAATTTACAGTACAGGGGGTCCTCGTTATTCGTCATCACTATATACATTGTTTTGCACTTATGTCGCCAACTTTTTGAGGAACATAACGTAAACTTTCCCCCACACACATACGTCGTTCATAGTTTTTTTTACTTGGTTAAGTTTAACTCTCTTAACATGGGCTCGGTCAATTTGACCGACTACGTGCCCTCTTTGTACTCATTTAAAGTCTTTATACATTTAATACTTCTAACTTTCAACATAGAGTGTACATGTAATACAGTAAATAATTTTTATTTAATTACATAATGCACCAAAGAATATAGACTAATAACAAGCAAGTAGGAAAGCAGACAATCCTGGACTCTATTTTAAAAAACACACCCAAGGAACCCAAAGCAGGCCCTTTTGGCATTCAAGTGAAGGAATATCCTGAGCCTACACCTACAGACAGCAGATGTCAGTGATGTTGATGATCTTGCAGCTACACCTCCATTCTTATTCTCCACCTAGTCCTCTCCCAACACCTTCTTCAATCAAGCACAACACGTGCACTCCTCAAGATAAGAACATAAAAATTAATGGTTAAGGTAAAAAAAATTAAAATTCTGTTTAATATTCTGTGATTTTTACACTCAAAATGGTTCTGTTTAAGTCATTGCTTAAAAATGTCACAAATATGTTTTCTATAAAAAAAAAAGAAATTTTTTTTAAAGTTCACAGGGCTGCTTCAAAATGCTCCTAAGAATAGTTTTCAATAAAGTGTTTGGTAAATATAAATGCTGTTTAAAGGTACTTGACCTCACAATTAGTTATAAATATGTGTACATTATGTGCTGTACAGTATAGTACAGGTACTGTACATGTACATTGTGCTTTTTGGTTACTAGGTATAAAACACAACGTTTTCTCAAGTTATGTTTTTTTTTACAAGAAAAATTACTTTTTTTGCATCACATGGACAATGTTTACACTCTTACAGTCCCTATCCCCCCCATTTCCAATTATTCTTATGGGGGGCAATTCCCTGTTGTACGTTGTTCAGTTATAAGTTGCAACTTTCCAGTCCCTAATTCTGACATATAACGAGAATCCCCTGTATGTATGCAAGTTGTAGAAAAGATAAAACCTTTGACTTTCTGAAACTTAGGCCTAATTTAAAAATTCAAAGTTTTAAGACAAATATCTGGAAAAACTGAAGAAATGTTACCTACAATATATATTTTATAAAAGGTTTTTAAGTATTCCTTGCTGCTTTAAATCAATAATATTAAAAGAGATTAAGAAATAAAACCTCTAGATTAACCTTTCTTAGTTAAGTGCCTTAAAGCTATTGTGATTTTATTTAATATTTCAGGGTAATAAGTACATTATCAGTTTGTCAAACACTATGTGAAAGAACTTTTCAAACAGCTAGAATTTGACCACAGAAAGAAATATAAAACTAGTGTGATCCACTTCATATGGTAGGACTAAAAATTTGGCAAACTTTGTAGTAATAGCAAATGGTTAATTATTATCTGCATTACGAAATCCAAATCTATCTAGAAATAATCTGGAAAATATTACAATCCAGGTCTAATACTTCACTCTAAGATTGTATTAAAGTTAAAATTAATCCATATTGTTTGTTTGGTGTTACGAATAATGTTACACAGTAACAAGTTAATATTTTTTATCTATTTTTTACAAGTGGTTTATGGTTACAAGCTTCTAAAGATATTTCCGAAAAACATAACATTTGTTCTTTATTCTTTGTAGTCACAAGTTTCAAACTTTTGATAAGCACAGTTTTATAGTTTGAATTAACTTGTTTCCAACTGTTTGAAAGACCAGTGCTAAGATTTGTTCTGAATTCTGCACAAACTACTTTAGGGCTATCTGCACTAGCTGTCCTTAATTCAGCAGTGATAAACTAGAAGGAATGTAGTCAATCAATATCACCCACTGCCAAAAAATAGTAGGACTGACCATCACATTATAATGTCCTCACAGCTGAAAGGGGCAAGAGTTGAAGTCATGAAACTGTTAATATACAGTGAAACTGCTGTAGATGGAATGGTAATTATTACAGAGAAAATATTGTAAGTGTTTGTACTTCTCAATACATCTGCGAGCAATCTGGCAATCATGAAAGAAACCAGTGAAAAGCCCAGTTCAAATTATATAGTATTACACAAAGCCAAAAAAAAACAATGTTCCTGTGGCTAGAAAATAATCTATCAAGTTTACATATAGTGATAAATTATTGCTTTTAAGATTTTAGCCTACTACTAAAATAATTGTACTAAGTAATAGTTTCTTTACTAAAGAAGATAAACAAGACTGAAAGGTAATAGTATTTCCTCCTCCTACCTGCTGGTCACTGTTATTTTGTGTACCAATTGAAGTTCAGAACTTAAAGCAAAAATCAATGTTTACATATAGTGATAAATTATTGCTTTTAAGATTTTAGCCTACTACTAAAATAATTGTACTAAGTAATAGTTTCTTTACTAAAGAAGATAAACAAGACTAAAAGGTAATAGTATTTCCCCCTCCTACCTGCTGGTCACTGTTCTTTTGTGTACCAATTGAAGTTCAGAACTTAAAGCAAAAATCAATGTTTTATGGCTTTCTCAAGCCTAAAATCTTCTAGATTAGAAAGCACGCAGCTTTTACTAAACCAACTCCTTCATATTTAGACTATCATTTAAAATACAGGTATTCCAAAACTTACCTTCCCTATTTTAAACTTTAATAAAACCATTATTACTATGCATAAATAACCAAATCCTTGTCAACGTACCAATTGGAACATAGAGTTTATGATCCAATCAAAATTAATGTAATATGTACATTTGTACTCATTAATTACAACTTTTGACTTATTAATTATACACACAGTTATAAAATATATATAAAGAAAAATTATATAGCTCTGGTAATAATTAAATTTGCACAATAAAAAAAGTGTATGGAAGCTGCCAAAACGTTTGAAGATGATGATGCAACACTGAATACCTACCATTAAACATATTAATAAATGCTTCTTTAAAAATCAATTCATTGGTAATTAATTAACAAAAATTTGATATTATCATAAACCCCATAGCCAAGTTTCTTAGCTTATAAAGCTTCAGTTATTTATGCTTAGGAATAAAAGTATTATTAAAGTTCAAAATTGGGAAGTTATTTCTGGAACACATCATATTTTTATTTTTTTTTATATAATTACATTTCTACAAACATGAAAGTTAAAAGTTACATTAAACTCAATATACGTAATAGAAATTGCGTCTTGATTTTTGGCAAAGTTCACTTCAAACTCATCACTCACCTCCATTCAATTCATTAGCTGATGGACCGAGTTTGGAAGAATCATTACAAAATGTACAGTCTATGCCATCCACTTCTTTTGTATCATCTATACAAAATAATTATTTAACTTCCTATATTAATAAAATACTTCACTCTTCCTGTGGTAATGACAAAATTAACAGAAACCGATTATAAGCTTTTGAATTCAATACATAAAAACACAATAAAATGCATAATGTCTATGTCAATAAAGAAGAATTTCATTGAAAGTCCTAGAAACCTGACTACTTGTTAAGTATTTAGCAAATGTATAGATACATATTAAGGAAAGTTTTGTTAAGATCCTGGCTGTAAGATGCATAAATTACAACCAATTTGGATAAGTAAACATTACCAGTTTTTAATTCTGCTTTACCTTTACATCAAACTAGTTAAATTTTCACCAGAAAAACACTTAAACACTTTTAGTGAACATCAAAAAGAATCTTACAACTAAAAAAGAAATTAAAAATTTCTCACAACAGGTGACTTTGAGGTGCCATCCTCAGATAAGCTTGCTACTATTAAACATTTCAACTGGGTCAATGTTTAACATTTTATACGCATTCAACTTATGTGTATCTCAATCTAACTCTTTATTGCCAATTTAGAAACTTTATTAGGGACTTAGGGATTTAAAGATTGGAGCCTCAGACTTTTCGTATGAGAAGATATTAAATATTGTAGGTTTTTTTAAGGTAACCATAGGATTTCAGAGAGAGAAAAAAAAACCTTATGATGTCGTGTCACTCTTCACCGAAGTCCCCGCCAATGAAGCTTGCAATATTGCACTCAACCTCTACATTAATAACCCCAACAAGTTAATGCACATCCCTAGCATACTTTTTGCTTCTCTCTTAGAATTTACAACGACTAAAACCAACTTCATTTTCAACAACGAACATTTCCTTCAAATAGATGGTTTATGTATGGGCAATCCTGTTTCACCCGTTCTTGCCAATATATTCATGACCCAGATCGAAACACAAGCCATACATTCTGCAGTTCATCCCCCACTATACTGGTACAGATATGTCGATGACACTTTTGCTGGTTTCACTTCTACAGAACACACACTAACTTTCTTTAAACACAGAAATTCCATTCATCCCAACATCAAATTTACCATAAAACACGAAAACAATAAACGGTTATCTTTTCTTAACCTCAAAATTATTAGATCTGACACACAGTTTAAAACCAAAATTCACCACAAAAATACAAACACTGGTCTCTACATCCCCTAGAATTCTGCTCATGACACCACACAAAAAATCAATACACTTAAAAACCTCATAAACACAGCCACAAGACTCTGTTCAACAGACTACATAAATAAAGAAATTAACCACTTAAAGCATTCCTTTATTCACACCAATAAATTCACACCAGATATAGTTGAAAAGCTCTCCTACATTCTCCACAATAAAACTCAACTCACAAACAAAATTGACACTAACAAACCCAACAACAGTACATTACACTACAGTTTACCTTTTGTCCCTGAAACCAGCTCAAGAATAATCCACACTTGGACTAAACTAGCCATTAAACACAATATTCTTGTCAACATCAAATTCTCACAAAAACCTGGCCCTAAATTAAAATCGTTTCTAAACAAAAATTATATAGAATCACACAATACCAACGTCATTTACAAAATAACATGCAATAACTGCCCAGAATTCTACATCGGAGAAACAGGAAGAATA